GGTCAGGCGAACGACCCTGCAAGGAGGGTGCCCCACAAGAGGCAGTGCGGTTCCGGAAGGGAAGTGGGGCAACCTGATTGAAAAAATCTTACATTACGTAATTGTTGGTCCCGGTGGAGGAAAGCACTGATGTTGGTGTGTTGTTTGATTGGTGATGTTGAGCCACAATTGCTGTTTTTGTGTTAATTGTATTGTTTTTCTTGGTTGTAAAAAATAAATTAAAAAAGCGAAATTAAAAAAAGGAGGATGACCCACCTGGGTTCCTGAGACCCTGGAAACTGCCTCACCTAGAGCACCTGGCCAACACAGACAAGGAACTCTGCTCTTGCCATCAAGCCCCATTCCCACAATCAGCACAAGCACGGGAAACTCGTATTTCCCATCAGCCACATGTCCAGACACAAATGGTATGAATATCAGGGCCTTAGGAAGGACTTTCTCTCTTCCTGCTCCCCCTCCTTTTCTGTTAGCCTCTCTGCGTTAGGTAGGAAGCTCTCTCTCTCTTTAGAAATATAGAGTAAGATTGGGATATAATGGGGATTTTTGGTTTCTGGACTACACAGGGCTAAAGTTTGTGCCTGCTCTCTATTCTTCCAATGAATAACCAGTTGTTTACTTTTCTAAGTGCTGCTTGAGTTTGTGTGGATGCAAAACCGGGGCTTGTTCTCTGGCTGCACGCCTTAAAACCCCAGCAAAAGGTCCCAAACCTACCTACCTACCTACCTATCGATTTATATCCTGCCTTTTCGTGCATCCTGGAAATTGCAAGCCTTAATTTTTTACTGTTATGTTTAATATTCCTCCTTGCACAAGGTTTATTGTTTTAAATTGTAGTCCAACATCTTGATGGTTTTCTAGCAGATAAGACCGTCTATAAACAATAATAATAATACTAATGATTATTATTAATGGTGATGATGGGCAAACACTGTTGGATCAGCCTGTTTCTAGGCAGAATTTGTAGAAACTAAGAATTAACAGTGCGATTAGGAACAGCTAACCCAATAGATAAAACAGGCAAACTCAAGCATATCAGGCTGGCTCACAGGGAACAGTTACAGTCATGGAACGGATTCACGCCCAGCTTGGGACTGACATATGAGGAGTCTCTGGAAGGAATTTACCTGTGTCCACACTTCAGGTTCTACCAATGGAGAGAACGCCGGGGGGACCTGGCAAGGAAGCCTCCTTCCACTGGAAGGGGACCACTCTTTGGCCACTGATGAAGGGTCCCTGCCCAGGCTGGACTGGTGGAAGCTGCTCACAGGAAGCTGGATCTGTCCCCGTGCTCTATGTTTTGCGACAGTTAACATGGGAAGGGTAATGGCCAAACCAAAGCTGCTTTACCATGGCCAAGAGAGGGATATTCAGGCAGTGTCAAAGTGGGAGGAGGCGCTTGATATTGGGATGGGCACCTTGAACAGAGTGGCAATCAGGTCATATTTAAGAGGGCAACAGAAAAGCTCTGGAGGCGAGAGGAGTGGTACCTACGTTGTGATGTGGCCTGGAAGGGCCCCAGTCCTTATGCTGGATTCTTCTGCCACCCCATCTGGCGTCATTCCTCCCCAACCTGGTATGCTCTGGATGTGTCAGACTAGAACTCCAATCATCCCCAGCTAGCCTGGGGGAGGCTACTCTAAGCAATATGCACTGGGAAGGTTCTTCTAGACAAGGGGACAGGTGCCGGTAGAAACAGTGCAAATATTTGTGAGCGAGGCACTTACATGTCGGGTAGCAACTTCGGGATGAGTTCCACGGTGAACCTGGAAGATGCCTGGGTGAGCTCAACAGGGATGTTTTTCATGGAGGTAAAATTAATGTAGAAATTCACCATCTTCTGGTCACGCTGATCAGCTTTCTCACTGTCTCCTCCCTCCGTGGTGCATCCATGGGCCACCCAGGTGTAGGTAGTCGGGTTGCCCATGAATTTGCTGGTCTCAGTGTTCTCCTTGCCCAAACTGAGTTGTTTGAGGCTGTGGCTAAGGACCTCCACGTTGCTCTGGACCCCTTCGAATCTCAGACCTGACAGACGGATGCACAGGTAGCAACAGCTGAAATCTACTCTGATGGCACAGAGCTTCAGGAACTCCTTGGAGAAGGAGAATGTCCCCTGGAGCTGTCCATTCTTTGTCCGTTGCTTCTTCCACACAATTTCAACGTCACGCACAACAATGGAATCATTTTCAGCCACCGCGCATGAAGCGGCTTCCATGGCACAGAGGGGCAGCCACACTTTGCGATAGTCAGAGACGTTCTTATACGTCTTCTTGGATGCCTGGGTGGTGTACTCTGAGAAGCAGTCGACGGGTCTCTCCGCATGCTCCAAACACACATCGAAGCCTGGACCTATGGCCCACAGCTGCACAGATGGCACCAGGAACCCTCGCTGGAAATCTGTGGCAAGCTGCAGGTACAAGACGTCTCCAGCCCGCAGCTCCACAGACAGTTCGACATAGTGAGCGCACTGGCTCCTCTGCATCCTTGCCAAGGTTCTTCCCTGTGCGCAGTAGCTCTTCTCGAGGAGAGAGACCACCTCCTTGTAATCTTTCTTTCGGGTGGCCGCAAGGACATCACGCCAGGCTCTGAAGGTGAAGTGACTGATCCTCTGGTCCCGGAGCACGGCCACCTTGGCCGTGCACTCCTTCAAGCTTTCCGTGGAGTAGAACCTCCTTCTCCACATCAGCTGAACGCTCTTCTGCTCCTGATTGAAGGACGGTTGCGTCACCAGCTGGAGAGCTCTGTAGTTGATGAGGTGAGGATCCGAAAGGCTGTCCCTGTCCAAAGGAAACAAGACTACGAAGTTCTTGGCCATCTCTTCAACGTTCATCACAAAGGCGACCTTCTGCTGGGATCGATACGTCAACTGAGCCGCCGTCTCCAAAGAGCGCGCCCTCTTCTCACAGGCGCTGGCCATGCTGTTCTTCCGGTTGAAGTCGTGGCAGAGGCTTTCGATCTCAGCTGGGAAGTACTCCACGGCCTTGTTCAAGATCACAGAGAGGAGGTGCCGCTGGAGGACGATGTCTATGTAGCGCCGGATGGGGGAGGAAGCCCAGGTGTAAGAGTTCACATGCAAGGAGTAATGGCCCACCTTGGACTGATCTGAGGAATTGGAACGGAGAAAGAAAGAGCGGGGCAGAAGTTTCCGAAACTCCAGGTTCACAGGCGCCAGCATGGGGTGGACGTCGTCTGTCATAATCAAGTCAAGTATCTTGGGAATGTCCCAGGCATCAACGGCTGACCTAAGATGATCCCACAACGAAGTCAGGACAGCAAAACTATCAGTGGCCTGCATGTGAACTCTGGGGCTCACAGGTCCCAGATGATGGGAGAGATGAGTGGACAGTGGGATTATATCCCTGGATTTTTCCCTGATCTGCTTCACTTGATGCGGGTTGGGCTCTTTCTGGCAACGCAGAGGAGTCAGATTTCTGGTGGGATGCTCTGTGGTGAGGAACTCTGCCACGGCACTGTTAAACATGATCATAAGCTCCTTGATCATCTGGTGGGAACATCTCTGGCCGAGGAGGCTGTCTTCATCCAGCTGATCATAGTAACTATCCTCATGGAGCCTGGACACCCGGTGGACACGGGAGAAATGGTAGGCAGCGGCAACACAATCCTCCAGGGTGTCAAAATTAAGCAACGGTGCCTCCAAACTATAGTAGTTCCGGATGATGCCCTCGGCCTCCTCGTAGGTCAGCTGCCGGTCTGAGACTATCGTGGACAAAGTAAAGGATACACGGGTCATCTGGTCAGTCTCCTTGTCCACTAAGACGAAGAGAGAGATCACCCAACGCTCCTTCTGTGGAAGGAGGCTGCAGAAGTCCTGACTGAGCTGCGGTGGGATCATGCCCACCGGCACCTTCCCAGGCATGTAGTAGGTGGCTCCCCGCTTCTTTGCTTCAGAATCTATAGCACCCCCTTTGGGGACCATGGACGCGATGTCAGCAATGTGGATCCCAATCTCATATTCACTGCCCAGGTCTCTGACGCTGATGGCATCATCCAGGTCTCTTGCACCTTGTGGGTCAACCGTGAAGGTTCGGTAGCTCCGGCAGTCCTTCCGTTCATCCTTCTTAGGAGGGAATTTGCTGGAGGTTAATGCAGCCACCGCGTGGTTTACCTGGGCTGGGTATTCATTTGTGAGACCGAACTCTATATCCAGGATACGCAAGCCTTCCTCCAGCGTGGAAGCCGCAGGAAGGACATCTGTAACGATCCCCAGGGGGTAGTAATAGCCTTCCTGCCACTTGATGATTTGGACCGCAAAGAGCCATTTCTTCCTGTTTTCTTGGGTTATCTCCTTGCACCCCGTAATCCTGTGGTTCCCTTCTATCTTGCGGATGGGAATAATATTTGGTCGATCTTTCAGGCCCGGGACAAAGATTTTGGTGACTGTGCGGTCAATGGGAATCATGATTCGGAGATCAAACTCATCCACTGAGCACACAAAGGTTGAAATCCTTTCAGCCTTCTTCAGAACACCCACCACTTTCCCATGGGGGCTTCCTTCAGTCATGGCACTCCCTGAACTGGGCTGCAAGATCTGCACCAAGACCTCATCCCCACTGAAGGCCATTCCACAATGAAGCTGCCCTTTGACCTGGATTGTCATAGGTGGGTCATCATCAAGCGTGAAGGCAGAAGCATGATAAAACCCCTCCTTGAGGAGTTCACAGCGTTTGTACGTGTTTGGCTGCATACGCAGATACTCCTCCATGGTTTGTGAGGAGTAGTTGACATATTTCTGCCCGCTGCTCTGAGGGGTGGATACCTCTGGCTTCACATTCAAGATCCCTTCATCAGAGACCATCACCACCATCTCTTTGCTCTCGTCCAAGAGTTCCTGCAAGATGGGGTCATCGATGTTCATGCTCTCCACATCAGAGAACCAGGAATCTGTGTCACTCTCCTCTTCCTCCAGCTCAGGACTACCTCTGGTCCAGATGGCTTGGTTGCATGCCACCTGCCTGATCTCCTCCAGCGTCAGAGTCTCAGGAGCCACTGCCTTCATCTCGATGCACTCCTTGACGAAGCCTTTCCAGATCTTGCTGCACTGTCCGTGGGAACACAATGCCACCACATCCCCCACGGCAATAACTTGAGACTGTGCCCTTGTCAAGATGGTGTTCAGCACCCGTGCGTTGTTGAAGAAGTCCAGGTTGGAGGAGGCAACATGGCCAAGGCTTTCCCTGGTATGGACGGTGCTGATGATGATGACACGGAACGCTCTTCCTGTTTGAAAACAAAAGGAGAAGCATAAAGAGGAGTGACCGCTTGGAGAGAGAGACCTGCATCTCCCCCACAGAACAAGATGGGGCAGAGAGGGCTGACTCAACTGGACTTAGCCATAATTAGCAATGTTTATCGGCTGCATTCCCCGGAATGGAATGAATAGCTGGAAGGGGCCTAGGAGGCCATTGGGCCCAATCCTCTGTTCAATGCCAGACTCAAGTCTCCCGTGCAAATACTAACAAGGCCAGACCCCACTTCGCTTCCCAGGTGAGCCAGGATCAGGCTCTTCAGGCGATTCGGAACAGAGCAGAAAAGACCAAGACAGGTGGCCTGACCTGGTGCACAAGTTCTTGCCTATCCGGTTAGTCTGTTGGCCTTTTCAAGGGGGCAGCAACAGGATTACAGAAGACCACTCAAACGGGTGCGCTCAGATGTTTGGAACTCCCATCATCCCCAGTCAGTACCAGGGTGTGGCAGGCTGGATATTTCTTCAACCTGCCTCATCAGGAGCTGAAACATCTCACATGGACACCAAAGTGGGTCTCCTTCCTTGGCTGCGAGCCCATTGGCCATCTGGTGGACACCAACCTGGTAGGTTCTCGTGGTTCTCCACCATCACTTCTCCTAGGTGCTTCTTCCGCAGCTGCTGCCTGATTGTTTTCACCTGATGAAAGAAGAGAAGCCAGCAGGTTAACCGAGAGGCCCGGCCTAGTTTAGCAGGGCACCCACTGACACGGCTGTCAGGTGTTTTAAGAAGTACCAGTTCTAACTGGGAGACCTCCAGAGGTTTTGAACTTCAACTCCCATTAGCTCCAACGGGAACAGCACATGGGCAGCTGCCGGCCAGAACGTCTGCAGGGCACCGGGCTGGGAGACGCTGCTACAGACATTTCCCAGCATGGAGTTAAGCTGATGGAAGTGGGGGAGACTTAGCTCCGTTTTGGCCCGCAAATTCTGAACTTTCCAAATTCCTACCTACTTTTCAACACCTGAGAACTGTTCAAGAATAAGTGTTTTAGCTCTGTTTCAGATGCAGATCACTACTCCCATCAACCCCAGGCAGCAGTAACTGCTTTGCCCAACATAGGCTCCAGCGCAGAACCTTAAATTTTGGGCACATTCACATTACGGGAGAAGGTGGCCAGTGCGGTGTGGTGATGTTAGACCTGGGCGATACGAATTATGGCCCCCAGTCAGCCGCAATGCTCCCTGGGAGGCTTGGGCCAGTCACTGACTCTCAGCCTGACCTACTTCACAGGGCGGTTGAGAGGATGAAATGAGGAGGAAACCACCATGGGCACTCCAGTCATTGTTTCTGAAGGAGGAAAAAAGGCAGGGTAGAAATGCGCTCGACCCAGCAAGACCGCTGGCCAACCCGGAGCCCTTGCGGCTACCTGAACGCCACAGGAGACCACGCAGATCTTCTTGGGGTCTCGCACCCCCCACTCAGCCGGCCACCTCTGGATCATTTCCTCCACTTTCTCGACGACCTGCCCAGCCTCGGAGCTGTTGAACCAGGAAGGCACGGTGTGGTGTCGCTCGGCAAGGCCGTCCACGTGGCAGAACATGAGCGGGTGGAACTCGGGGTGAGGCGGGACGTTGCCCCTGGCGTGGATGGCATCTCCCTTCCCGACATAGAAGTGCCGGGAGACGAAGCTGATGATGCCGGCGGTGGACCGGTAGTTCTCATTGAAGATGGTCCTGAACTTCACCGCTGCCTCGTGCTTCTCCTTCTTGTAGTACTGGAAGAGGCGATTCAGGAGCGTGTAGTCAGCCAGCTGCTCGCCCTCCTGCAAGGAGAAGACCGTGGGGGTGACCTGCATGTGGTCCCCTGCCAGGATGATGCGGGTCTCCAAGGTCGCCAGGGAGAGCGGGACCAAGGCTTCGCACTCGAGCATCTGGGCCGCCTCGTCGATCAGGATGTGGCTGAAATAGCCGGGGCTGAGCCCGAGCTTCACCGACAGCATGGAGGTAGTGATGACGATACGGTGCCGGTCCAGCTCCTCCTTCGACGGGAGGCGGAAGGAGTCCCGGTTGGGGGAGAGGCAGCAGTAGGGCAGCGTGACAGGGTCTGTCTTGTGGACGTCCTGGCCGGGGTATTTGATCCTCAAAGGAGCTGCCTCCGGGTGCCCCGAGGTGACGTACTCGTGGAAATACTCGCAGATGTAGATATCAGCCGCACTGCAAGAGACGGGAGACTTACTGCGGCGTTTCCCAAACTACTCAGAGCGGGGAGAGGATGTTGCCCAGATTAAAACGGAAGGCACACGTGCAGCTGACAAGCACCTGGCTGGCTTGGCCTCTGGGGATTAAGATTCTGTCCCGTACCTCCTTCCCCAGAGGCAAAGCTCAAGCAGGGCAGGCTGCTTGCCAGCCCATCGCCGAGGTCACAGAACCCCCCCCCCCCCCCCCCCCCCGTGTCCGGCCACTAAACAGTGCAGATTGCCGGACCGAGCCGGAGACGGCCGCCCTTTCTTGGCTCTTCCCGGCTGCCAGAAATCTACTCCTGGTTTCCTCCCAAACTGTCTTCATATCAACATCCCAATTTAGGAAAGAGGGGAAGAGGGTTGTTCCTGCAGCTGTTAAAAAGCTGAAGTCCCACCTCACAGCAATGGGGCGGCTGTGGATTTCCACTGACGGGTTGCTCAGATGACTTTCGAGACCCTTTTCAAACTTTTGATCCTAGACAGGTCCATCTGTCTGTCTGTCTGTCTGTCTTTCTTTAAAGGTTTTTTAGACTGTCCCTTGCCGAAGTCTCGGGACAGTTTAAGAGTAAGACAAAAAACAAGCACAAAATGAAACATATGGATAGATGCTGCATCAATTTCTCTGCTCCAAGGTGAACAGAGCGTTTTATTTTCGTTTCATTCAGGCTTATTTTAAGATGGGTTTTATTGCTGACCGGTTAAGAATTTGATTAGGATGCTGTGTTTTGTTTTATTTTTGTCTTACTGTTAAACCATCCCGACTATGGTAAGGGACGGTCTGAAAATTTTTAAATAAAGTATTTATTTGGGTAATATTGGGTGCAGGGTGCATACTGGGTGTGGATGCAGATAAGAACTCGGGTCTGACCCCTGGCTCCAACGGGGTGGAGCCGGGGGTCAGACTAGATGGCCCAGGAGACCCCTTCTGACTCACTCTGCTTCTATGTTTCCATAAATAAACCAGTCAGTCTAGATACCCGATGGATGCGTGTGACTGCCTGCAGTGCTATTCCTTGGAAACCCTTCGCCCAAAAAACACCCGGACTGGCGGAAAGCAGGAGCTCCTCCCCGGGCGCCGCTTACCTGTTGGTGTGGGTGCAGATCAGAACCCGAGTCTTGGGCTGCTTGATGATCTCCAGTGTGGACATGGCCAAGGTGAAGGTCTTCCCCGTCCCGAAAGGGCCATAGATCAGAAGAGGGGGCACCTGCCGGACCCCAGCCGCCTGCCCGGTGATGAAGGAGACGGCCTGCTGCTGCTTCGCGTTCCCCCACGGAAGCCGTGGCACCTGCCACGGGGGCTGCGGGACGGAGCAGGCGGCCACGTCGGGGAGCACCAGCCGCTCGTCGCAGAGCCGGTCCGCGGCGAGGTGCCACTCCCGGAACTGGAGCTGGTCCACCTGGAACTGGACCTCGACCTTGAGGGACATGCCCGCCGCCAGGCCCAGCTCGAAGCAGCAGAGCGGGGGCAGGAGGAGCCAGACGCTCCTCTCGGTGATGTCCTTGCTGTCGACGGAGACTTCGAAGACCCGGTTGTTGAGCGGCGGGTCTGGAGCCAGGAAGGCTGTTTTGACCGAGCGGAAGAGCAGGAAGCCTTCCTTGGAGTCGGGGGTCAGGGAGTCGGGGGTGGGGATGTGTGCGTACAGCATGCCCGGGGGGGCAATCTTCATTCCCATGGAAAGGGTCTCCGTCATCTGCTGCAGGAGGGCCACGACTTGCAAGTTCAGCCTGGGTTGGATCCGGAGAAGGAAGGAAGGAAGGAAGGAAGGAAGGAAGGAAGGAAGGAAGGAAGGAAGGAAGGAAGGAAGCAACGTTGGCAAGAGAACATCTGTCCAGTTGGGTAAAGATCAGAGACCTCCTCCTGCTCCTCTACACGACGCAGACTGCAATGCCCATCTGCCCCACCCCGCATGGCCAGTGATCAGGGATCCTAGGAGGCGAACTCCAAAGCATGGGGGCTGCTGACCCCCGCTTTCTGCCAGCAATTTGAAGCCCTATTTATTGGGGAACCAGTCATTACACAGATCATCTCTCGCACATCCTCACCCCGCAGTCATCAGAGGTGCTCTTGCTCTGCAGCCCAGCACCATCTGAGGGGTGGAAGTGGGGAACATGGGACGGGGTCTTGATGTTGTTGGCACCCAAGCTCTGGACGTCCTCTCCCCGTGAAGCCCAACTGATCTCCTCTGTATGCATGTTTAGGAGTCTTGATAGGATAAGAGCGTTGGACAAATATTTGTCCGTGCTTTTTATTTATTTATTAGATTCATATCCCGCCTTTTTTCTCACAAAGAACTCAAAGTGGCTTCCACCGTTCTCTTCCTCTTGCTCTCCATCCTGTCCCCACAGCAACCCTGTGAGGCGGGTCGGGCTGAGAGTCTGTGACTGGCCCAGAGTCACCCAGCTGGCTCCACGGCTGAGTGTGAACTAGTTCATCACCTAAGTCCCAGAGCCACACTCTCAACCACTTCGCCATGCTGGCTCTCGACTGAATTTGAATGAACTGAACTGATCTGCATGGATTGTTCTTGGTACCTTGCCCTTTCTGAGTTTACAGATTTGTTTTTATCTCATGTATATCTGAATTTCATTTTGGCAGGAGTGAAAAAAGTACAGTGAAAACATTTTAAACATAAATACGCTTTCCTGAAAGCCCTGAACAGGACCTGCTTTGCCCCCGGACTCGGCCCTGGCCACCCACCTGGAGATCAGCGTCTGCTGTGCCTCCTCCTCTCTGAACAGGAAGTTGTGCATCTGCAGGCGGTAGTTCAACCGGCCGAGCAGCTTCTTCGCAGCACTGCAATGGAACTCCAGCGCGTTGCCGGGGGCCTTGTACCTAGCCAGCAGCTCCAGCTCCTTGGCCGTGCGCTCCACGCCGGGCACCACCACGCGGTTCCCCCGGTGCCAGCGCTCGAAGTCCACGAGCTGGCCGCCCTGCTCCGCAGCCGCGCTCGTTAGCCAGGGGGCCTCCCGCGGGCCGACCCTCACCTGGAGTTTGCGGAGCAACACCGGGCGGCTACCGAAGTCGAAGACCACCCATTGCTCGTAGACTCCGAACGCGTGGCACTCCACATGCACCTCCACCACAGTCGCCCTCTGAAGCGTCGGGAGCGTCCTGAACCTCTTCCCCGAGGCGTAGGTGAGACCCTGGGAGCCCTCGTCCCCCAGGGAAAAGGAGGCTCCGGGGACCTTCTTCAGCAGGGCCACGTGCTCCAGCTGTTTCTGCAATGGGAGCAAGTGGGAGTGGAAGTCGGGGTGCCATCCCAGCCCCCAAGCGGTGCACCAGAAGCTGGCGGAGGCGTAGCCCAGGACCCGGGAGACGGGCAGCCTCTCTTGTCCGAGGGAGACGGCCGAACTAGCTGCACCCCTGTGGCGGCCAAGCCTTCCAAGCCGTCACCTGCCACGGAGGGGCACAGAGCATCTTCCGGCCGAGGGCCAGTGGCAGCTCAGAGAGGCCACCTTCCAGGAGCAGCGCTGGCCCAACGCAAAAGGGCAACTCGGGGGGAGCAGCCCCAGGATCTGGGCTGCGCCGGCGGCCGGAACCAGAGCACTACCCAAGTACTCACGGGATGGGCCCCAAGCCCCGCTGGAGCTCCCAGCCCCGATGCGTGCCAGCCCGTGCCCTGGGGAACGGCCACGCAGGAGCCAGCTCCGCCCGCAGCAGGGCAGGCCCAGGTCTGCTGCCGCACCTGCGTCCCACCTGGCCCAGGCCCCGCCTCGCTCACTCGCTGCCTGCGGCCTCGCCCGCCAGGTCAGCCTCGCCGAGCTGCCTCAGCGGGGCCGCTGTGCCCGCACACTGCGGCCCCGCTCCAGCGCCCCGCCTCCCAGAGCACCGAGCCTTGTGCGTGTCCTGCCCCGTGGCCCTGCCCCACGGCAGCTGTGCCCACCTGTCCCCCTGGTTGCCGAGCCCGGCCGGGTGTGTGCATGGCCTGAGCTCGCCGTGAGGCCTTTCCCTGGGGCTTTGGCCTCCGTCTTGCCCAAGGCCAAAGTCCCGGAGCCTCCGGCACCGCCCGCCCCGGCCCCAGAGCCCAGCAGTTTCCCCGTGGGGCGAACGTGATGCAGCTTCTGGTGGCTTATGACGAGCAGGGCAAGCGCGCCTTCTTCATCCCATCAGGGACCAGCCTGCAGCGGCACCCCAGGCCTCACCCCAAAGGACTGCCCCCCCTGCGGGGACCACAGCGCCCCCCAAAAAAGGGCGCAGGCGCAAACACGGCGCAGGGCCCATAGAGGTCCCGGCTTCATGCCTGGCCCGTCCAGCAAAAGGCCCACGGGGGCCGGGCCAGGGAGCACCCCCCTCCCGGGATGCCGAAACTCCACCGCTGCTCCCGGGCGCGATGCCGGGCTCCACCGGAAACCGCGCGACATGAAACAAGGCGGCGCCCCATGCTACGTCCCTGTCGCACCGAAAGGGTCTCGGCGCCCCTCAGGGCGGCCCTGCAGGTCACGCAAATGTGTGGCAAGGCGACGAGAGGCGGCTGATCCTCTCACGGCCCGAGGCACGAGGGGACACGGCCAAAGCGCCAGCCAAAGCAGGTGTTATTGTATGGTATTCACGCCCCACCTTTCTGCCTAATGCAAGGAACCATGGCAACCGTCTTGGGCAAGCCAGTTAGTGCTGCCTGGGGCTGATGGGAGTAGTAGTCTGCATCTGATACAGAACTACACAATGTTCTTGCTCAATTCTTATGTGCTGAACAGCAAGCAGGAATTGGGGATGGTGCTTGCTAGCCCAGCCTTGTGATTAAAGGACCACCCCCTATGTCCAGGCCTTCACTAACCATTGCACAGCACTGTCTCTTAGTCCCTGTAACTAAGCTTTGACACAACATTTCAGGGTTTTTTTTGAATGGTGGAGGAGGAGGAATGGTGCAAGACCTGGGCAGCTGGGGAACAGGGAATGCAGTCCTCCGAGGAACACCCAGTCCAGGCTACCTGACCCCCTGCTGAAGAGGAAGCACTGATTCACAATGCGTCCTCTGTGGAGTCTCTTGGCCAGCGGGTGCTCTCCGCTGGCAGACCGCTCTTCCCCCTCGCTTGACAGCTAACCCTGGGGTCCCCACTGCCCAGTCCCCGCTCTTCCTCCTCTTGCTCTGGGTCAGGACCCCGCAGTTCCAGGACCGGCTTGCTGAGCAAACACAGCTGCAACCTCAGAGCTCAGCATCCCCCTCCACTAATCTCGAGGTGCCTCTGCAGGGGTTGCAAGTGCTCACCTGCACAGGTAAGACTCCCACAGGCCAGATCTGGCCCACCGGCTGGGGGTTAGGCTTAGATCTCTTTTACGCTCCTTCACCTTTCAAACCTACCTGGGAATGAACAGTGAAAATCCATTGGTACCGCATCTTCTTGTCCTCTGAAAATACCTTCAGGGGCTGCTGGCAGGTAACCACTACCCCTTCGAGTTCCTGAGAAATCTGGCAAGAGAGGCAAAGAGATGAGGCCACCAGAAAAAGGGAAGCCGGAGAGCGAGAGCGCATTTCCGCATGACACTCTCTGTCCTGGTTTTTAATTATGTTTGCTACAGGTTCCGTGGTGGCAGAATGTTCTTGCAAAGTCGAAACACCAATTAGACAAATGGGATGAGAAGCCAATCTTAATGCCGGGGTGCTTCTGCATTTCTAGATCTGTGCGTGCGCACACACATGCAAAAATTCTGTTCACAACTGTTAATGAACAATTTCGATTTGTGGCACTGGGGCAAGGGAAGAAAAGCAGATTTTAGAATTTGAGGCCCTGAATAAATATCCTGAGATTTCCATTCAGGTTAAGTATTCCTCAGATTTAGGCAAGCCATCACATTTGAAAGATTTAAGTAGAAGGCGGGTGAGCAATCGCCCTTTCTCCTCGTAGCAAACAAATTTTATTTTTCAGGTACAGCCCTGCTTCACAGCGGCCGAGGGGCCTCTTGCTGCGGTCATTCCGTGCGGCCCTGCCCAAGGGGGTCACGCTCATCTGCAGCCAGAGAGCAGCTCTCCAGCCTTCCTGCCCCAGTCCCTGGGCACTCTCACAGAATGACTGCCATGCTCATTCAGAAAATGGCCACCATACTGGACACTCGTTTCCCAGGAGGCCAACTGCTGAGGCAGGAAGAAAAGCAATGTGCCCAAGGACCCAAGCACAAGACGGATGTGGGCCCTGAACCCCAAAACAGGCACCCCCTCTTTTGATCCCACTCAAGACGGTGCTGGTGCACAGCGCTTTGCTTTTTGCAAGCCAGCCTCCCAAATACAAAAGAAGATAAAAGAAAAACAACATAACGACGGCGTAAGGTGACAGCCAAGAGGCACAAGGAGCCCGCTGGTCTCCAGTTGTGGTACCCACTGCCTGAGAATCGTCCTGCTGGATCAGAACCGCGGTCCATCTGGTCCAGCATTCTGTTCACACAGTGGCTGGCCCTCCAGCAGGATGGGTCCCAGAGTCCCGCCTGCCCATGTGCCTCAGCACCCTGTTGGCATCCTGCCCTGGAGGCACCAGCTGAAGAGGACTGCTCCTGAAGAATGTAAAAGCCCTCCTTCCCAACAACGCCCTCCGGAGGAGCCATGCGGGACTGAACAAGGGGCCACCCAGCCCAGCAGGCCAAGCCACGCAGAGGCAGGTCATTCCCAGTGGCTGGAACAACCCAATTCCGGAGTCCCACCAGACTGTGGACTCTCCACTGGGAAGGCTGGCCTATAGCTGGTACAGAACTCCACCTGGCAGCCATTAGCATGCATAATTAGTTTGCCCCAGAATGCCAAGGGCGAACAAGTACGGGAGGGCACTGCCTTTCTGGAGACGCTCTGGGCCGCCAACACACCCCACCCCGCAGTTTCCCCTTGCAGCCGGCAACTTACAATCAAGACCTCATTGTAGCTCTCTTGGTATTCGGCGAGCAGCCGGTCCTGGTAAGCCAGGAGGCCGCCCTGCCGAGCAGACTTCCTGCTCTCCTCGGCCAGCTTCACCCTCTGGATCCACTCCTCCAGCTCCTCGATGGAGTGGGCCTTGGCACAATCCTGCCCATAGTCACAGGCCTCCGCTCTGCACGGGAAAACCAGCCCACAGGCAGCCATGCATCAGTTCAGGAGAAGGCAGGAGGGTCACAGGCCCGATCCGGACCTCGGAGCACCCCCAGACGCCCTTCCCCCAACCATCAGCCACCGCCTTCTGCCATGCAGGAATGTCCCCAGTCTAAACGCACCCACTCCCCACGGCGAGGCTTCTCCAAACCCCTGGATAAAGGGGTCAGCTGCAGCTTAGGAAGCTATCCTGGGAGGTGGGGAACTGCTCCTTAATCCTAAGGATTGCAGCCATGGAGAATCAAGCCCCCCTCTCAGTAGAGCCCCCCCATGGGCGCTCTCCAACGTCCATCCTCCTAAAAGCAGACCCACCCTTAAATTAAGTTAGGCTCAGCATTAGACGCAGCTGCCTCGACGGTGCTGGGAAAGCTAGCTTTCGAAGGGCTTCAGGAAGGACTATCCCCCGAAAGAGGAAGCTGGCTCACCTGCTGCAGAGAACAAGGGCCTTGGGGTCGTACGGGGGCGTGCGGTAAGTCCACTGGACCAGGCAGTTGGTGGTGATGAGCTGCCTGTGCTCCACGGAGGAGCAGTGGTTCTCGAAGCTCTCCTGCGAGCTACAGGTCACCAGGCACACCCGGCAGTAGAACCGGACTCCGGGCTGCGAGGCCTCCTCCCCCGCCTGGCCGTCCCCCTGCGAGCGCAGCAGGTCTCCGCGCGCTAAGCCGCCGTGCTGCTCCGCCTCCCAGACCGCCAGTTCCACGTCGCTGTGCGCGAAGACACACCGGTCCACGGTGTGCTTGCAGGGCTCGCCCGCAGAGACGGGCCTGCAGTAGCTGAACAACTTCACGGCCCCCGGGCAGGGCCGGATCTCCGTGTACTGCTCCTTCCTCGTGCCGTTGGTGACCACATGGGCCAAAAGAGGGCTCCAGTGGCCCCTGCAGGCCCAGGCCGAGTCTCTGGGGCAGATCTTCTGCGGGGTTCTATAAAAGCAGGTCTTACAGATCTCCTGGAAGCGTCCCCCGAACTCACTCAGGATGTCCTCCGAGACGCTGTGGTCCAGGGGCTTGGGGGGGAACTGGCTGCTCAAGGAGCTGCTCAGCTCTCGCCACAGCAGCATCTTCAGCAGCTGCCTCCCCATGTTGTGCTTCCTCTCATACGTCCACACGATCACCTCCTCCTGGCTCCAGGCAAAGGTGCACTGGTTCCTGTGCTTGGTGCACCCCCGGCCAGGGACGTAGTACCGGCACACGTCGTACTGGGCTGGGTTTGGGAAGATGGGCCTCCTGCCCACCTTCCTCCAGAGCTTCCCTTGCGTCCCCTTGCACCTGGCCAGGAGAAGTTCCTTCGGGCAGCAGTGCGGCGGCTGCTCCGCTAGCTGGTAGGTGCTCTCGTTCACCTGAAGGCTGCACTTCGAGCAGGCCAGGTGCAGCGTCAGCTGTTCCAGGAGGCCGTCCAGCGGCGACTGCACATACCCGTTCACCTGGGGCATTTTGTCCAACGCGGCAAGAAGTTCTGTTCCACAGAGAACGAAAACTCCCCTTGGCACAAACCGGGGACCAACTGTGGATGCTCAGCCGGTGCGCTTCTGGATCTGCTCTCCACATTCTAAAGAAAGCAAAACGGGGCATAATTGAAAAGTTAGCGAAGGCTGCAACTGAGAGGCAACTGCCCGCAACCTGGAGCCTGCCAGATGTACTTGCTGGCCGTGCTGGCTGAGGAGAATGGGATATGCTCCAAAGCATCTGGAAAGCGCCTGGTCAGGAGAAGCTGGATAACACACACACACAAGCTTCAGAGGATCCCAGCAAAATGGCTCGGCCGAACGGCACACTCAGTGCAGGGTGGATGCTGGCTGGGTGCTGAATATGCCTTTTATTATTGTGTTTCTAATCAGTGTTTTAATGGGCCTAGTTTTGTGTTGCACGTACGAGGATCTGGCCTGCTCCAGGGCTCCATCTGGTCACAGAAACTGGAATGGCCACGGTAGGGCTTGCAGGAGCGGTTCCAGGCCCTGCTGAAGCTCTCAACCTCCGGGATGGTGCTGGTTGGAAGAGCTCGATATGAGAGCAACCTCTTCCTGCCACTCGGCGCCTCACCAAGATGGGCCTGCCTGTTCGTGGCAGTGCATTTCTGCTCCCGCATCCTTCCTTCTCTGGGCCCTGCCCTGCCATCCCATCCCAGCAACGCAGGTCCTCCTGCTAGCAGTGGTTCAGGTCATGCTGCTGCCCTGACCTGGCTGCATCTGGTCACTGCCTTGCCCTGCCATCCTGCCCTGCCTCGCCATCTTGCCATAGCAGCACAGGTCCACCTGCTGCTCGCCATGTGTTCTGTGCCCGCATCTTGCCCGAGCCGGTGTCCTGCCTCGCCTTGTCCTGCCTCATTCCCTTGCCTTGCTCGCCACACGTCTGCTGCTCCCGATTCCCACCTGGCGATCGGCCTCAAGTCACCTGCCGCTGCTCTTGTCTTCCCTGTGCTGGACCCTTGCGGCCGGGTCCTCGCCTTGGCTGGATCCATGCCCCTGCACCCCGACCTGGGCCTGTTCCTTGACTATGACCTTGCCTCTGACTTCAGTGTTGGATTTTGGAAGGTGCCTGGACTCTGCCATGCCCTGGGTTCTGTTGCCCTGGTCCCAGTGCCTTTGGGTTCCTGCTCCCCACGCCTTGGACCAGGAAACATTGTCATTAACTGCCCCAGTGCCCAGCCCCCGTCTCCCTCCCCTCCCTCCCCCCCCGTCTGTCTGTCTGTCTGTGGAGCTGCACTTTAGTATCCTCAGCTGCCTGGAGTGCCATTTTTGGCTGAAAGGTGGCATGCAACTTAAAATACATTCCCAGCATGCCGGAGCAGGGGCTGGGGCTGGGCAGTCCAAAGGGCCTCCTGAGCTCCCTGCCCTCCTCCTCTGGCAGGTCTCTGGCCAGGGGCCAGGCTCCCTCCGGCCACGCATTCGGTGGAGAGCCGCCACGCCCCGCTTTGGACAAAACAACTCGCCCGGGCCTTCCCACAGGCACCAGCTGGTCTGGGGGAGCCTCTGCATCCTGGCTGCAGCCTCTTGCCGGCCACGGCGGGCACGGCCCAGGTGTCTGCGTCTTCTCCTGCCCCACTTTTAATGCAGAAGCAGAAGACTGCCGCTGCATCCATGGGGGATTTTTATTTTTCCTCCGAAGGCGGCACTGGGGATCCTGCTCATTTCAACCACGCAGCAACGGGCTCAGTAAGGACCCTCTGACCTGCTCAGCCGAGCGACTGAGTCAGCACGCCTCTGGGTTGGTCCTTGCAGGGGACTGGATGCGCCTGTTCCATTTCTGCAGAAGGAATCGTGCTTTCTTGCAGAGTTCGCTGCGCAAGAACAGCCAGCATCATGCTCTCGCCGTCCGGCGTACCATTGTTCTCTTACAGCATTTGGCATGCAAGAAGCTGTACTAATTAATGGCATCAACTGATTTTTGCTTTTGTTCCCACACACAGCTTGCACAATCCACATGGTCGCCGCCTTCTGAACGAGAGCTCCATCGCTTCTGAGGTTCCCCCTCCAAGGCAAGGCACCTGTGAACCAGCCCAGGATGGCACGGGCAGGTTCGCATGTCCGTGGCATGGCATAAAAAGCGCGGAACAGGGCAAGTCTGTGCGGCTCCCCCTTCCAAGTGGGGCCTATTTTATTACAGACCCACATCACCAAACGCTGCATGATAGCAAAGCACAGAAAACACAGGCAGGTTTGCCAAGCCACTCTGGATGCCCATGTGGGCCTGGGACCTGAACTGCTAGCCCACGAGCCACGCAAATCCCCATGAGCAGGTTGCCGGTCCCCCGTGAGATGTTCCCCAGAGAAAATCTGCCGGTTGCACCCACGCTAGTTCTTCCCCCTGACCAGAGGACAACGCGAGAAGCCCATCATGGAAGGAGAGCGGAGCACGGAAGCACAAGAGGCAGATCTTTCCTTGGCCTGGAGGTAAAGTCCAAGCAGCGTCTGGGCCTCCTGCCACAGTGGACTTGTGGGCATACCCAGTGCTCCCGTGTGCATTTGCCATTACACACATGTTGTCTGGGTTCTTTCAGCCCGATTTCGTGTGCCGCTCTCATTGCCACAGGGAGAAAAACCGAGTCTTCAGCATAAAGAAGCATCGGTTTACTTCCTGTTAAATAACGAACTGGAGAACGTGCAGGGCAAAGGAGGGAGCAGTACCATTCGACATGAGGATGATGGACATCCAAAAGCAATGAGGCCCCAAAGTCCATGCGCAACGCAAGACAGTGCGCTTTTGAGATGATAAGAAAATGTGGCACATCGCCCCATTTCTCACCATCTCTGCATTTTGACATTGCATCTCTTTCCTGCCTTTTTCCTCCTGTGAGAAACCAACTTGCATGCTTCCCCGCTACGCCATTTTTATACGCACAACGACCTTGCGAGGTAGGAAAGGCCGAGAGAGAGTCTTTGGCTCAAAGCAAGCATCATGGCTGTGTGGGGACAAAATCCCAGTCCTCCCAGCTCCCAGTCCAGCCACTCCATGCCAGCTCTCGGAGAAATCCCCTCCCAAAACTTTTTCCCCCCACAGGCCGGCCACCTTCCATGGTTGTCTCAGAAATGCACACCATCGACTGCGGATGTGTCAACTCATCTAAGCAGCTTCCCGCTCACAGCAAAACAGGAAACAACTCTCTTAGCCCCAAGCCAGCCTCAGCATCGTGCCCTGTGATGCCCTCGCGGCTGGATCCCGCACGTCTTCTGGAGTCCGCCACCTATGTGCCATCCCTGGCCCACCACAGCACGCATCTCAAGTTGTCTCCACCTGCTGCAAACCCTTCCAGAAGTTCTGCATCTTCTCTTTCTTTGCAAGAAAAGAGAGAATATTGCATAGGAAATGCTATTTTCTCTATTTTATATCTATTCTGCCTCATAGCCAAAGCTCCCTGGGCAGGTTTCAGAATGTTTGTTGGGGTGAATGGTCCGAGACAACCTTTCTGGCCATCCTTCTCCAGCCAATCTCTCTCTCCAGCATTTTTCTGGCCGGCCAGCTGGGGGTACCGTGGCAGAGGCCAACCCAAGAATGCACTGCCTTAGAGAGAGAGAGAGGCAAAGTGGAATTAAAAGCTCCTGTGATTCTTGGAAAGGTCTGTGACTATCTGGAAAGGCTGCAAAGCTCGCCAAAGACTGGGGGGAATGAGCCACGTTAGAATTTGAGGAAGACTGGCACAGAAGGAGGTTGCGGGATGGTGAGGATGCTCCAAGAATGTGTGAATTCCTCTCATTGGGAAGAAATGGTGGTGAGTTACTCAGATCTGCTCAGGACTGGGTTCCACATTGACCGTCGCTCAGATTCGTTGTGGGTTGGTCTTGGGAACAGGTGTCCAGTGCAGCCTTTGGTCCACCTGTTCTGGATGCGGTTCAATTACTGAGCCCTGAGGATGCGGACGAGGTCCTTAGAAGGGGTGGGCCAACCACCTACATTCCCCACCCTTGCCCCTCATGGCTTATCATCCAAGCCAAGGAGGGGCTGTGTCCCTGAGTCCAGGAAACTGTTCATGCCTCTCAGAGGGAGGGGATGGCCCCACCTGCCCTGAAGTGATTATGCTTCTTAGATATGCACCTGGTGCCAACAGGCCAAGCCCTTTTTATTTTCCCTAATTTAATTGTTAACCAATTTAATTGCCATTGTTTCGTTACATTTTAGTTTTGTCTCATGGATACCGTGGAGTAATCGCAAATTATTAATTGGAAATTTTAATTATTTATTAAAATCACATTTATTTTTATTATTTATGTATGTATGTATTTCTTGTCATCTGTGGTTCATTATTCGTTTTTCTAGTGTTTGTTTTAGCTGATTTAGTTTTATAGTGTTGTTATATCTCAGGAGCAGGTATGTGATGCAGGCAGGCAAGGGAGTCTCTATGGATGGATGTTATTTTATCGTTGTGTTATTTGCTGCGTAACAGTATGCATTTAAATCGTTACACTGTTATATTGTACTGCTCTGAGAGCTTTGATAGCAATGAACAATATACAAAAGCAGTAAATAAATAAAAACTGTGGATGGATTGAAGGGATGCTTGAAATGCTGCTCGCTTGCTCTTCAAACTGAACAGAAAATGCACCCAAGTTTAACAAAAGTGCAGCCAGTCCTCAAGAACTCCTCAAGAATTAACATGTGAGGCCAGCAGCCCTGACTCAACAATGGTCTGATCCCGCAACTAGGTGTAAGGTGATCACAAATCATTGCTTTTAAAGATACCAGATCAGTGTGCAAAGGGATTTGCTTCTGAGTGAGGCAAACCCATCATCTGGGCCATGCCAGAGCTAAACGATAACTCTCTGTTGACTCACTCGTGGCAGATTCAAATCGTACATCATGTTTGGTTTGGTTTTCAGCCTCCTGAGCACAAAGGAAACACCTTTGAGTACTCCGGTTGCTACGCACTGAATGAATGCAGCCGCGTGGAATTGTTTCTAACCATCTAGACCTCACCCACCCACTGAATAAAATAAATAAAAGACAATGCAATAAGCCGAGCACAATTGTTTTAACGAATGGCAAGCTCCACTGAAAACTGTGGCAGCTGACTGAGCTTGGAGACGAGTTCGAGAGGGAGTGTGGCTCGTTTAGGGACATGAAAGAT